CGCTGGCGTTCCACAGCTGCCTCCAGCCAGCGCACCAGCTGCTGCTGCTCCTCCAGCTGCATCTCCAGCTCCGAGAAGGCGATGTGCTGCCTGTGCTGATCCTCTCGCAGCGTTACCACCTGGTGAGGGCCCAAGAGCGAGCAACATTGCATCTCCTTCAGAGCCTGGGAAGGTTTCCTGCCCCACCGAGCCAAATCGAGCGTTACCACCTGGTGAGGGCCCAAGAGCGAGCAACATTGCATCTCCTTCAGAGCCTGGGAAGGTTTCCTGCTCCACCGAGCCAAATCAAGTTAGTTTTTTGTTACAGCAGATGAAAGTTAGTAGTTCTGGGATGTTACGGCTGCCTTGTGGAGGGAAGAGCAACATGTGCCCGCTCGGACATGGCAGAGCCACTGCAGGGATCCACCCACCCTACGACTAGTTAAGCTCCTCTCCAGGCGTTGGGACAGGTGGGGATCATGGTGCTGCAGCTTTGCAGCCTGACTTTACAGGACAAAAGTACAGCAGGAGGCAGATGGAAAGCTTGCAATGCAACTGAGGAAGAGCAGAATTTGGTCAGATACTATGGCTCCCACCAGTTGTCTCCCACCTTGTCAAAGTACTTGCAGAGCAGAGCTCGGGTCTCGGAGGAGGAGAGGTAACTGAGCTTGGCCATGAGGTTCATCTCGCACTGGGACAGAAGGCTGGCCGAGGCCCGTAGGACTCGCTGCCTGCACGTGATGGACTCGTTCTTATACTCGATGGCTGCATCCAGAGCCTCAATTGCCTCATCCAGCTGGAACAAGATCCGTTCTTCCTGCCAAGGCAGAGCTGCAGTTACCAGGGGGCAAAGGGTTTGCTGTTTCACCCCGTCCCACCTTCCCTTGTCACCTGAACAGTACTGTAAGAAGTTGGGATATGCACAGTTTGGAGAGGCAGGGCAGAATCTGCTAATGACCCCACGCCCAGGTCTATTCCTCTCCTACTACCTCACGCTCTTGCGAGCGGAGCAGAGCAGCCCGGCCCACCCCACAAAGAGGTACCTCTGGGGACAGGAGCGTGCCCTGGCGCAGCTTGTTGTCGAGCTCCAACCTCTGTTTGAGCAGCTGGTCCTTCTCCTGGCGCAGGCTGTTGATCTCCTGGCGGATCTGCTGCTGGTCGTGCGCGCTGCCGTGACGCAGCTGTCCGTTCTTCTCAGTCAGCTCCTTCTCCAGATGCTCCAGGCGGCTGGACACACGCACTATGTCATCTGTCAGTGCCTGCAGCACAAGATGCTGGAGAGGATCGGATCTAAAGGCCCCCAGTCCCTTTCTACTCCCTCCATAGGTCAAGCGACCATATGTGCACACATATGGCCTTCAAGCCAGCTAGCTCAGAGGCAGAGTTCCTACCCATTCCCCAACACCACCTCATCCTGGCCTGGTCTTCCAGCCTCCCACTTCTGCTGGAAATCAAGCAAGGGCTTGAGGCATCGCAGTCTTTTCCTACCTGGCTGGAGCGCAGTCGTTTGCTCTCCAAGCCGTTCTTCTCCTGCAGCAGGGCTTCCTTTTTGGCCACGATAGCTTCCCGCTTCCTCAGCTCATCTTCCAGCTCATCCAGGGCCCGACGCTGCTCAAGAACTTTATCCATCTCCATGTCCAGCCACTTCTTCTGTTCCTCGATTTTCTGATGGAAGGAGAGGCAAAAGGCATGTGCCTGCGTGCAGACAGCAACAGCAAGGCCCAGGACCCCTAGACTGAAGAGCAATGGGGTTGAGATCAGAGAGTCAGTCTTGAGCCCATTGCTGCTCACCCCTACAGCCCAGACTTCACTGGCTTTATCCTTCCAGCTGCTCTGGGAGGCAGAGCTAGTGAAATTCCCAGCTCCCATGGAGTCCTTGGGGGCCATTTCTCCCCCCACCCTTCTGCTAACAGACAAGAATTTGCAGCTTCTCTACTAATGCTAGGATTTAGGTGAGATCCTGGGGTCAGACAATATCTAAGTCCTCTGCTACCAGATGTAAGTCGTGTTACGGACTGTCCTCCTCAAGGGCACGATGGGCGATGTCCCATCGCAGGCTGAAGCCTCTGCTTCCAGCCCTCCCCTATCGCCCTGCGGTCTTTCATGGCAGTCCCTGTCGCACAGCAAGGAGGAGGTAGGCTTGCTCTGCCCGTACCTGCTGCTGCTCCAGGCTGATCACGGAGCCGTTGCTGCCGCTCCGCCGCTTCCTCTGGAAAGCAGCGATTTCCTCTGTTTTGATGCGCAGGATTTTCTGGTGCTGCTCGTGCTTCAGTTCCAGTTCCTGTGTGGGAAAGAGCAGCCGTGAGCACTGAGGGCAAGGGGAAGCTGTTTGCCCTGCAGCCAGGGGCTGAGGGACATGTGGTGTTCTCTGCTAGCATTTTGGATACTTTAAAAAAAAATTCCTCTCCCCACCTCCATGCTCTCCAGAACAATCACAGACCCCAGAAGGTACCCTGGCCTGCCCAGCAGCTTGTGGAGCCCACCGTCAGTCCCGCAAGTAGCAGTGCTACTCCCGTTTGTTCCTACCTTGACTTGGTGCTGCCGCTTGTTCACCTCTGTCTCCAGCCGCCGTTTCTGCTCGCTCTCCTCCCGCAGCCGCCGCTGCCGCTGCCCCTGCTGCCGCCTCATCCGCTGGACGCT